AATATCCAATGTATCTCACCCTTCCTAATATCCAATTTAAACCTGCCCTCTGTCAGGTCAAAGTCATTCCCCCTTGTCCTGTCACTGTCTGCTTCCCAGGGATGTGGGAAATTTGGGACAGGGCTCTTGGAAGCATCTCTTTGGCAGAGACTGTGCACTGTGATGGGGTTTTTGTTGTGCTGTTTGGTTTGGTTTTGGTTTTTTTTCCAAGACAATGTCCTTGGTGAAGCAACTTGAACTTTGGCTGCTTTGATATGGAAATGTTTTGGCAATGAAGCAAAATGTCACATGTCTGTAATGCTCCCCCCCATCCCTTCCCTCTAAAGTGGGGTTTTCAGGGAAAGCGACCACACAGGAGTTGAAAATTTGCCCAAATGTACTAAATACCATCAGAAATGGCAACAAAAAAAATTCTTGGCATTGCAGAGAAAATCTTAACATTTTGCTTTCCTTAGGAAAAAAAAATTAAAAAATCCCTAAACCATGCTGGATGGTTGTCAGAAATGCTTCAGGAAAATTAAATCCATGTTTTTCAAGCTTTTAGGGTGATGTTGTGGTGTTTCTGCTGTCCCTGGGTGCCCCAGCACCTCCGAGCTTTGCTTGAGCAGCACTGGGTGTTCTCAGAGCTGGTGTTTTTTATTCCTTTAATATTTGGTGTAAGAAGGAGGCTGCTTTAACTGCTCCAGGTGGGTGTCTGTAGAGCTGCCTCCGTTTTGGATTTCATTTGTCAGGTTTACACACTCTTTAAACGTGCCATATGCCGGGGTTCAGCCGGGGATTGTAGCTGAGCATTAAGTGTAGAGTAATCCCATTAAAATCCCCAGGGATTGCTGTGGGTCCTGCTCAACCACAACCTGCCTTCCCACGCTGTAATCTTGACTCCAGGCTGGGTTTGTGTGGCCCTGGGGGGATTTTGTGGAAGAGGGAAGGATTTGTGTGTGAATTTAGGGCATGAGGATGGTGTTGGAGGGTCTACCTGGGCACTGACTGCTAAACCAGCCCTGAGCCAGTTGTAAGTGAGGAGCTTGAGCCTCCAGTCTGGATTTTCTGCCCTTGGAGCTCAAGCACCACGATCAATGTGAAGAACAAGTCGCATTTTTTTCCCACAATTACCTCAGCAGGTTGTTTAATTTTTTTTTTCCTTTTGCTGAATTCATGCGATAAAACGCATTAAATGTAACAGCACGGAAAATAAAAGTTCCGTTTGCAGACGGAGCCTGATTTAGTATGAAGATAAAACAACTGGAAAAATTAAGTGGGATAAATAAATTCTGCTGGGAAGAGGCCGAGGTGAGAGAGGGGGAGGTGTGTGTGGCAGTGCTGGCAGTGGTCAGTGCAGCTGTGAATCCCATTCCCAAGGAATTCCACCTGGGAAAGGGGTGATGCTTTGCTTTGTACCCTCTCCCACAAACTGGTGGGTGCTCAGTTTTGTCCCAGGAGAGTGAGATGTGATTTACCCTGCATAGGGAGGGTGTGTATTCGTCCTGCCTGTGCTCGTGCCATCTCTTTTGGGTGAAGAAATGAGAATATTCGGCAGCAAATGGGAAAAGCACAAAGCGGGGCTGTGGGGTGTGGGGGAAGAGGTGTCGGGATGGATTGCCAAATATGCTGGGGAAAAATTAGCAGCTGCAAGTGTGCAAGAGAAAGGTGGAGAAGAAAAGGGGTAGAGACAGATGGAGAGAAGGAGGGAGAGAAAGAGGAGGTGGGAGGAGAGGGAGGAGGGGATAATAGTGTGGAAAGAAATTAGTTAAAAATCTTATAGCCCCGAGCCCAGACACCATCTGGATGGTGCAGGGTACTGAGACACAGCTCCACGTTCACCATGGAGGTGGCACATATGTCTTGGCCAGGTAGGGTGGCCGAGATGCTCAGGGTTAGAAATTCCCCATGCCCCAGGAAGGAGCCTTAAAAGAGCCCAGTTTTGTGAAAAAAGTGCCCGTGGCTGTCTGCCAGCTGGGGACCAGAGAGGAGCTGTTGTTGTTGAAAATCTTGTCTGGGGTTTCCAGAGGGAGATCTGGAGAACTTCCACTTCCACTGGTGCTGGAGGGCGAATCCCTGGGAGCAAAGATTACTCTTTGATTAAACAAGCACAAGGCCTCCAAGGACTGCTCTTCCCTACAGCGCTGCCGGGCTTTTGCTTTCCTGGGTGCAGCATTAACCCCTTCTGTTTTGAACAAGGCTGAACAGCTGAGAGACATCAAAGTTCATCCCAGAGAAAGGGAAAAAATAGTAAAAAAATTTCTTTCTCGTTATCTGTGCCTTAAGATTTAGTTTTCTTTGCCTGCTGAGGACTGTGACAAGCACATGGTTTGTTGTGCCCATGAGGGAAAAGCTGCTGTCCTAGGGTGAAGCACATCTCTGTGGTACAGCTGTTTCCTAGCATTCCCCTACCCAGGCAGGTTTAAAGGAGTGAGAAATGGTCCTTGGATCTTTTTTGGGAAAGGCAGTGCCCAAAGGAGGAGGTGGCACTTGCTGGCCAAGTGTGCAGTGTCCCAGTGGTACTGCAGTCCCTCCCTCCCTCACTGCACTGATCCCAAGGAGCTGGACTCACTCCCTGCTGCACCGTGAGCATTTCAGTGTGCCCTGAGCTTCGTGGAGAAAAGGGAAATAATCTGGGAGTGTGAATGAGGCTGGGGAAGGAAACCCAGCGTGGCCATCCGTAGGTCCCAGTGGCTGCAGGCTGCTTCCCAGTGTGACGCTGGAGCAGCGCTGTGGCTGAGCTGCCTCACGGCCCCCGGGCTCTGGTCCCTCACTAATTACTTCCAGGCCTGTACTCCTGACATTTGCAAGCTCCTGATTAGAGCAACGAGGGAGAAATCTCGGAGGGAGAGGGAGGCTAAACTGCACCACTAATAAAAGCTGAGATTGACAATGGGCTGGGAGGCGACAGCCGGGGAGGTGCAGGGACTCGTCCTTGCCGGCTCAGTTTCTTCCTGAGCCTCTGGGATGATGAGAGAAGGTCAGGGCTTGTTAACGTCACCGTGAGGAGCAGGATCCGCCACTGCCATATGCCTGGTGCCCCCAGGGCCTGTGCCAGCCTTGAGTCCCTCTCAGCCAGGCGTATTTTTAGCCACGGACCTGAACTGAAGCCACCCTGTACAACCTCAGGTCTGCAACTGTCTCGGTGCAAAAGTGCCTCTGCCTCTGTGTCTGCTGACTTTGTGCTTCATGCAAATTTTGCAGCCTCCTGGATTTCAAATATTTTTCCCCTTGCCCTTTTCTCTCCCACATCCCATCTCGCTCCCTTCATTTGATGTCAGTGCAGTCACTGGGGAGGTACTGTTAACCCCAGCAGTGGGACTGGCACATATTTGTGATGGGGTGGCCCAGAATGCCAAACCAGGAGAGGCTGCTCTGGTTCCCTGGGTGCCCACAGTGGCCCCTGGGATGAGCATGGTTGAGCCATGTCTCCTGCAGTCTCCTGCACAGCCATTCCAGGCTGTTAGGTCCCTACCCAGCTACATAATTATGGATCACATTCATTTCCCAGCCCTCTCTCTCTCCCCTCCCTGATGCCCCATATCCCCTTACCTGTCTGTAGCAGCCAGTTCAGTTCTCTGTCTGTCCATTTATTCCCTGCCTTTGCATCCGTTCATGGATCCATGGCTCTCCAGCCTCCTCAGAGTCTCTCTGTGAGGCAGAGAGGCTTTTTCCCCCTATAAATCTTCCCTCTCCTGGACTGCTCTGGCTCTGGCAGGCTTTGTGCTACACGCACTCTACGTCTACAGCTTCTATCCCAAGGGGTAAACACCATTTTACCCAGCAGAGCTCGTGCAGCATGCTTGTCCCCTGGAGCTAATCCTGCTGCTGGGTGAGGCTCAGCAGCACCCGTGGTCTCACTGCTGGGGCTGCCATGGGTTTGTGCTGGGTCCTGCTGCTCCCTCCCTTCCAGCAGACACAGCTCCTCCGTGCCAGAGTGGAGCAGCTCAGGAAGGAGTGGAGTGTCCTTTCTCTCCCATCTTCCCCCCACAAAGAATCCCTGGCATGGAAGCAGCCAACCTGCACATTTGGGGTTAAGGCAACTTTTCAGCAGCTGAAGAGCTTTCTGGTGGAAAACTCAGCCCTGCTTTTCTCCGTGCTTCCCTGGGCTCCCAGGCTGCCCTATTTATCCAGCTGCAGTGAGCATCCCTCTGGTGCTGGGTGCCAACACACATCTCTGCAGTGCCAGCCCGTGGCTAGTGGCTCTTTAGGGTCACTGAGTCCCACTGCCACGTACAAAGAACCTGCTCTGCTGAAAATTTGGCTTGGGATCACTGAAAACCCCTTGCAAAGCCCCTTTATCAGCTCTAATAGTGTTTGGATCTCTGGATGAGATTGGTGTCCTGAATTAGCTAAAACTCCCTTGTTGGTGGTTATTTTCCTCCTCTAGCCCCTGGGAGGGACAGGTTCCCTGGGATACATCAGCAGAGGAGGCAGATGTGCTTTGGAGGAAGGCACCCAGCCAAGGTCCAGCCTGGCTTGGGCTGAGGAGCTGTGTGAGGAGCACTGGCAGCACGGGGCTAGTTTTCTTCTGTGGGCACACACAGATGTGTCTGGATGGTCACCAAGGTCTTGGTGTCTTCAGCTGCTCTTTGAGGAGATAAATGGTGGTCTGTGGGTGTCTCCAAAGGGAGAAATTTGTTGAAATTTCTTGTTGATGCTCTGTTGTGAGCAGCAGGGTGGAAAGCCCTTGGGCTTCCTAATTCAAGGATCTCAGTGTCAGGGAGCAGGGACAGGAAAGACAGGAGCTTTGGAGCTGTCTTACACCATCCCATGGGGCAAGGACGTGGAGACAGGACCCTATTTCTCACAGGCAGAGAGAACTGGAGCCATTCCCCCCGGGGATATGCATCAACAGGTGGAGGCAGGGAAAGATGCTGCGGTGGGCGAGGGTTTGGGCAACCTGCTGCTCTCGAGGGCAAGCTGGGGGTGCGTGGTGCGAGAAAAGCCCTCTCTGCAGTGGGGCTGAAGCGGGCGAAGGGCTGGGGGGTCCCTCGGCTGGTGGTCGCCGTGCGGGAGCGCGGCGCGGCGGGGGTTAATGTGCGTGTCCTCCTGCGCATCCCGCCCCGCTGCCGCCCGCCCGTGTGCGGGGCTCGGGCCGTGCGGGAGCCGAGGCGCCGGGCAGCGCTGGAGCCGCTGCCATGACAACCCCGGGGATGCTGCCGGCCGGGGCCGGGGTGCTGCTGTCGCCGCCGCCCCCCCGCGTCTCCCCCGCCCCGCTGAGCGCCTGAGCCGCAGCCCGAGCAGCCACCGGCCCCGCGGGGGCTGCGAGACCCTCTGGACACAGCCGAGGAGCATCGGGGACATCGCCTGCAGCTCCGCGGGGAAGTTTCGATCTTGCGACAGAACCGGGATTTTGGGGAGCTTTATTGGGCTTTTTAATTTTTTTGTATATTTTTTTAAATTCTCCTTTCTCTCTGTGATTTAAACAAAAGCTCAAGAGCCGGAGAACAGCCCAGCCCCGGCCCGCTGTGTCCCCCTCGGTGCCGATGCCGCCCTCCCCTTCCTTTCACAGACACTCACGTTTCCTCCGTGGGTTATAAACTTTTGATGCCAGATCTCCGCAGCGCCTGCCCAGCTGCAGCTGAAAGTAGCGTCTCCAGCAGCCGCACATCTGTGACCTTCATCTCGTGCTCCGCACCTTCTCTCCTCCTCTTCCTCCTCCTCCCCCCGGCCCTCCCGTCCTCCTCCCTCGCCCGAGGACAGCGGGACTCCCTCCGATGCCGCTCGGCAGGCTCAGCGCTCGCAGCCAGCCTTGCCGGGGGCTCTCCTGATCTCCGTGGAGCTCCGCAGCGCTCGCCCCGGTGGTTTTGCTCCCCCCCATCCCTCCTCTCCACCCACCCCTTCCCCCTTTTCGCCTTGTCGGGTGTGTTTTTTGCCTGTTGGAAAAGTCCCCGCTGCCCAGGATGGGGGTCGGTGGGTGCTTGGCCCTGCCCTGGAGGTGCCTGGTCGTCCTCTGTCTCAGGCTGCTCTTCCTTGTGCCCGCAGGAGTGCCCGTGCGCAGCGGAGATGCCACCTTCCCCAAAGCCATGGACAACGTGACAGTGCGGCAAGGGGAGAGCGCCACGCTCAGGTAGGAGCAGCTGGACGGGGGCTCGGGGGGTCGGGGGGTCCTGCTTGATGCTTTTGGGGGATGCTCTGTGCCCGGCGGGGCTGCCGGAGGGTCCTGGGACCAGCAGGAGACTTTGCACGTGTCCCAGGGGCTCGTCCCCGTCGCGGCAGGGGACACTCCGGGTGGCAGCGTGTCCCCGTCGTGGTGGGGTCAGCCCGTGCCAGCGGGTTTGGAGGGACGGATGCGCCGGTGCTTCTCGGGCTGCAGCGCGGGGCTGGCAACCTCCTGGGGGGGCTGCGGGTGCCAGACGCGGAGACGACACAGGGCTTTAGGTGGCAGACAGTGAGTTAGTGCTGCCTGAAAAGCCCAAAGTTGAGCCTGCGTGGGAAGGGAGCGGGGTCCGTGCTCCTGGCGCCGGGGCCAGCCTGCGCTGCCAGCGGCTTTCCAGGGCTGCGATGCCTCCGAGGTGTCAGTGTTTTCCTCGATCGCTTTATAGTCTCTGCACGAATCCGTTAATATCAAATCAATCTTTTACTCCAGGGGTGCATCTTATGAATTCTGATGGATGCTTTCCCTTACGTTGTTTGCTGTAGGAGAAGCACAGGCTGCTGATATGCAGATGGGTCACTCCTGTGCCGCACAGCCCAGCCGAGCATCCCTTTCATTCCCTGAACGAGTTACAGGTGTACGCGGTGCATTGCCCAGGTAGCACAGCAGCTCTCCACAGGCATCGCGGCCAGAGGAGCAGAGAGCAGCCCAGCCTTTTTTTGGAGGGCAGTGGGGCTTTGGGTCGTGCTGTGCGTGCTTCAGGCAGCCCCGGGAGGACCCGAGCCGGTTAATCCGGGCGCTGTGGGACTTAGGGAAGGAGCTCGGGGATGGTGGGACGTGAGCGTGGAGCAAGAGAGCCCGGAGGAGTTTGTCTGCTTTACGTGTGCCCCTCACCCGAGGCTGGCTGCTCCCTCGCTCAGACCCGGAGGAACAGGGTCTCTGCAGCAGAGAGCAGCTGCTCTTCCCAAAGCCAGGCACGGGGATGGCACAAGCAGAGCCTGTCACGCTCTCGGTGAGCAGCAGAGCCGGCGCAGGGCTGAGGAGCTGGCGCTGCTTTGAGCAGAGGCTGCTGTGCTCACCTGGGTGGCCGGGCAGGTTTCCGTGCCTGAGGTGGGCTTTGTAGGGAGAAGTGTTTGGTGGTTTTGGGAATCAGGCTCTGGCTGGGGCTCTGTGGGTTCCGTGCTGCAGAGGGAGGTGTTGGTTGCCTGTCTGCCCTCTTCCCACCACGTTCACTGCCAGACTTTGGGATGCTGTCCCTTTTCCTGTACCCTGGGACATTCTTGTCATCACCGCGTGTTCCTGGGGGCTGTGGCACAGCTGGAGAGCAGAGGGCTATCTCCTTGTGCTCTTCCTAATTGAGCTGCAATGATGATTAACCTGAGCTGTGTGAGCAAGGCAGTTTGAAGAAGGAGAGTTCCCCAGAGAGGTGCCTTTGGCCCTGCTGCTCTTTTCCTCGCTGCTGGAACTTGTCTCTGTGGTGAAGTGTGGGCTTTGGGGCTCTCAGGGGTGATGTTCGTCAGAGCAGGATGGGTGCCTGTGCCTGCTCCCTGCTCCCTGGGGAGCCCCTGCAAGTCCAGCTGAGCCTGCTGCCAGCAGAGGGCTGACTTGGATCTCCTTTTTTTTTCTTTTTTTTTTCTTTTTTTCTTTTTTTATTATTTTTTTTTTTAAATTTCTAGTCTTCTGTCCCCTTTTCTGCGCTGTTTGCAGGAGGGGATGTTTGTGAAGCAGCCCTGGGTGGGAGATTTTAGCTTTCCTTTAAGAAACTCTGCATCCTCCAAGTGTTGACACTTAGAGGAAGCCCCTGCCCCAAAAGCACCTGGTTTTATCCCTTTCCCCCCTTGGCATCTACTCCTACCCAGGCTCTCCAGTGCATCTTTTCCATGCTCTTACCCCCTCCCTTCTCCTCTTCAAGTCCAGCTTTCCCCTGCTGCCGGCAGCTTTCTGCCTCCAGCTCCCATTTTCTCCCACTCTGCTCCATCTTTTCTTACACTGCTGTTTCCCAGTGGTCCTTCTCTTCCCTCCTCTACTTGTTTCCTGCTGCTGCCCCTCTGCAGCCTCTGGGTGGCAAGTAGTTTTCCATCTTCCCTTGGGATCTGGCGATGGGCAGGGAATTGCACACAGCAAGCCAAAGAGGTGGCATCAGTGGGGGGTTGAAGGCAGGAGGACAAAGGTGGAGCATCTTGAGGATGGGGCTGATGTTTATTTGCAGGCTGTGATTTCCTATGAAGAGCCAGGCAGGGAAAAGTGCCGTGGGAAGTCTTTCCCAGTGAGTGGTGTTTTGGTGTAAATGGTGTTTTCTCCTGTGCACCCACAGGAGGAGGTGGTGGTGTCCCCTGCTGTCCTTCCTGCAAATGGCACTTTTCTTGGGGCTCAATCCAAGGAGATGGGCTTTGCAAAACTGAGAGCTGTAATTCCAGTGTGTAGCTCTTGCAGAATTAGCCCCAGTCCTGCTGGGTCTGGATGGCCAGGTCCTCTCCCTCATCCTGGCTGTGAGATGGGCCGAGCCTGCAAATCTCCCTGGCTCCTGCAGGGTTGGTGGAAGCTCTTTGCTTTCCAAGATCAGCCCTTTAACCACCCCTTGCATTGCAGAAAGGAGCTGGGAGAGCGAGCAGCCCTGTGTGAAAGTGGTGGAGGAAGCCTGGAGGCTTTTCAGGCTGCTGTGGGTTTCCTGTATTGGATTTTGGGCGCTTCCATTTCCAGCTCTCCACCCTTTTTCCAAGGGAGGCTCAACATTATCCTTGCAGAAACTCAGGCTCCATCTACAGGCAACTTGCAGGTCATCTTAGATCAGCAACAAATAATTTCCATTTTAAGCAGAAATTGTTGGTAATTCACTCCTTTTTATTGTAAGAGCAAACAATTCCCATAATACTCAGGCACCTTTCCTCTCCTGGGAACTAAAGGCAGTATGGAAATTCTCTGTGTACTGTTGAGAATAAAACCAAACTGCCTCTTCCCTGACTCAGGAACACAAAACTCAGGTGTTGAGATGGCAGGAGTAACTGAAACAGATGGCAGGGACATAAAACAGAGCAAGGAGCACACCAGGAACCACAAGGGGTGTCATACATGGTCACTTTTTAATCTCCCAGCTGGGATTTGATGTGGAAACAAGGATTAAGTTCCTTCTTTTGGGAAGAATGCCATTGAGTCTTGGCTTTCTCCACAAGCTGCTCGTTGGATGCACGTCCCGGGGTTGCTGTGGGGGCATCACTGGCAGGTCATGGCTGGCCAAACCCCATGGGCTGATCCTGCCTGGAGACTTTGGTTGGGTTTTATCCCAGCTGTGTCAGTGGTGGAAGCATCTCCATGAGCCAAAGGGGGAGCTGTGGCAAATATTCCCACGGTGTTAAAATGGGGATGGAAATGGGATCGTCCCGCTGTGCCGCCAGCAAACCGACCTTTACAGCAGCCGTCAGTACAGTTCATAAAGACATAAACCACCAGCTGCTCAAAATTTCAAGGCTTTATAGTTTTATCTGTATTTAAGAAATATTGTTGGTTTTTTTAAGGGAGAGAGTGCGTTTTAGAGATTGGAGGGATTAGCTGGGAGATGGGCTCTGCTGAGTTTTTTCTATGGCTGTCACTACAAGGACACCAGGACTTGAGGATGCCCCTCTCAGCCTCAGTTTCCCCATCTGTAAAATGACCCAACAGCAGTGGTTTATCAGTGATGATTAGAGGAATGGGTGATGCTAAGGCAGGTATAACTAGGCTTTTTTTCCAAACTAAATAATACAGAGCTGCTTTTTCTCTGTATATAAGGGCAAATTTTCAAGTAAAATCCCCTGGGCTTGTCTGCTTCTGGTGAACCCATGGCCTCTCCTACTGCCTGTCCATGGAGGAGACCAAGAAGTCAGGCTAGCTTTGCTTATTCACATCCAAGACTCTGTGCCTGGCTGTATTCTGTCAATTAGCAAGTGTGAGAACAATCCCAATTAAAAATAAAAAGCCCGAATAAAATATCATGAGATGCTGTTCTTCCATTTATTTTCACAATTATGGTTTTAATTATTTCTGACAATGCTGCTTTGATTCTTCTTTTTTTCTTTTGGTATAATAACCTACCACAGTCTATTTTCCAGCACGCAACAAGACCTCAGTAAATGCAACCAGCAGGAGCAGGAGGCAGGACCACAGTCTCCAGGCATAGGTCTGGGAAGTCAGGAAATCACTTTTTTTTGCCTCTTTTTCAGTCAAACTGCTGATATTCCATGTGCCTACCTGTTAATGGGGGTTGTGACACTCACCTGTCGCCCTGCAACAGCAGCCACGGACCTGGCAGAGAAAAGAAGCGTTAATGCATCCACATCTCTGCTGTTAAATCCTTGCTGGGGAGCAGGAAGAGAGTCACCGCTCTTTGTGTGCAAATGCTAAAAGCGTGGGGATTAGCGCAGAGCAGATTAGTGAGGACTTGCTCCATTGCTGCCCCTTCCTTCCCCCCCTCTCCTACCCAAAAACTTTTCTGGAGCAGCTAAATATATACCTGCCGTTTCCAAGGTAGAGCTCGCTGCGTGGCGGAGCTGTAATTGGCGACTCAGGGAAATTACAGCCATGGATTCTGGCATTTGGATCCTCCTGGCTGGCATAATAATTTCTCCCTAGGTAGCTGGTATTTAACTTGTCTTATCTGCTCCTGATAGTTGTAATTACAGTGCCCGCTAATTTCACTGTAATATTGCAGCCACTGGAAGGGTGGTTGGAGAAAGGTCAGGGGGTTGCAGGAGGGCTCCTTCCTCCCCAGCCTGCTGCACCAATGATGCTGCCAAAATGCTGATGCTGAGCCCATGGGGCTGGTGCCCAATGTCCCTGGCTGTGCCCCTTCCCACCTTGGTGGGGCTGGAGCAGCCTCACAGCCTTGACAGGCTGGTTGTCATTTGATGTTGGTTGGTCTTGGGCTGGTTGTCCCTGGGGCTGGTTGGTGTTCCTTGTGTTTCATTGTTCCTCAGGCTGGTTGTTCCTGAGACTAGTGT